AAGACGGTGCCGTACACACCTCAGCAGAATGGGCTGGCTGAGCGAATGAACCGGAGCCTCGTGGAGATGGCTCGCTGCATGCTCTATCATGAGAGTGTTGACAGGAAATGGTGGGCTGAAGCAGTTAATACTGCGGCCTGGATCATCAATCGGATCCCCAACTCGGTCAATGTGAAGACACCCTACGAGATTGTGAGTCATTCCAAGCCACAACTCAAGAACGTCAAGGTGTTCGGTTCACTGGGATACGCTCACATCCCCAACGAGAAGCGTCGCAAGCTGGATGCAAAGGCATTCAAATGTCGGTTCCTGGAATACGAGGATGGAGTCAAGGGGTATCGTGTACTGGATTTGTCAACTGGGAAGGTGCAAATCGTACGCACTGTGAAGTTCATCGAGACGGCCGACCCTGCCCGTATCATGACTCATGTTGATGCCGACGAGGACACAGACGCATTAGCGCCAACCATGAAGCAAATGTCGTTGAGTGAGTCCACGCAAGTCGTCCCCACCCAAGTTGAAGTTGCTGACGAGATCCCACTTCAACGTGACGTAAGCTTGGATACTGCGATGGTGCCATACGATTCGACACATCCTATGATTACTCGTTCGCGTGTTCGACACATTGACGAGACAACGGATACTGAAGAGACAATCACAAGAAAGAAGCAAGTCATCGATGCTCCATCGTCGACTGGGACAAAGCGTCAGAAGATGACTCAAGAGCGACCGAGACCAAGTGGTAACATTGTTGAAAGTGGACAGCTGATGGCTGCCACAGAGGAGGTACCGAAGACGTACGCAGAGACGACTACAAGTGCGGACCAAGACAACTGGAAGAAAGCGATTGCTAGTGAACTCAAGTCGCTAACAGACAACGGTACTTGGAAGTTGGTGCGAAGGTCAAAGCACCAGCGCCCGATCGGCTGCCGCTGGGTGTTCGCGTTGAAGCGCAACGAGACGAAACAAGTGATTCGACACAAGGCTCGTCTCGTAGCCAAGGGGTATTCACAACGACAGGGCATTGACTATGAAGAGACGTACGCGCCCGTGGCTTACCTAAATTCGATCCGAGCAGTGCTGGCCAAGTGTTGTGCTGAAGGATTCGAGATCGAGCAGTGCGACGTGGATACAGCGTTCCTGTATGGCAAACTCGAAGAAGAGATCTACATGGAGTTGCCAGAAGGTCTTCGGGAGCTACTGGCACTGACAGAGACTCAAGTTGATGACGTCGTCTGCATACTACTGCAAAGTCTGTACGGACTCAAGCAGGCGTCTCGTGTTTGGAATGAGATGATCGACAACCATCTCAAGAGCATGGGGTTTAAGGCTGCTGACGCTGACCCGTGCATCTACACAAGAGGTGAAGGAAAGGACGTGGGCATCGTGTACAACGGTTCGCAAGGAACAGAGCTCGTCGCCTACTCGGATGCAGATTGGGCTGGCAACCGCGACGATAGACGTTCGGTTAGCGGGACCATGCTCATGCTGTGTGGCGCACCTGTGGTTTGGCGTTCTGCGTTAAGACTATCGCTCTAAGCTCGACTGAGGCCAAGTACATGGCTCTCAGTGACTGCATCAAGGAAGTGGTGTGGATGCGGCTACTACTCAAGGACATTGGTGAAGAGCAAGTGGGGGCTACGACGATCTACGAGGACAACCAAGGTTCCATCGCGCTGGCCAAGAACCCGGAGTTCCACAAGCGCACCAAGCACATCGACATTCGCTACCACTTCATTCGTGAGAAGGTTGTGAGCGGCGAAGTCGAGCTGGAGTACAAGGAAACCAAAAACCAGCTCGCAGACTTCCTCACCAAAGGACTGTCGTCGAAGACGCTTCGCCACTTGATGATGTTGAGCAGTGTTGTCCCCAAGCTCAAGACGTCTAATTGAGTGGGGGTGTTGAGATTGCACTTCGTCGTCTGCCTGACTTGGACCTTGCTACAAGACGCACGTCTTGCGCGTGCTGCGCGTGCATGTGGCTTAGGTAGTCAAGTACTGAAGGTACACGAATGCTGCAATCTGATTGGCAGATCATTCGATATCCTGAACT